TCATAAGGTATTCTCTTTAATCGAAAGTACTTGGAAAATAATTCAAATGAAAAGCCAGAAAGCTAGACGCATTTTTTTACTTTTGTCATAAATTGATTCTCATTTTGGCATAATTGTAAATTTTCTTACATTTTCATTTTTCATATTAATGTCCTTGAAAATCCCCATTTTTAATTTGGTAGTAATGCACTTCCAACTTACTATTATTCTTTGCTTCAGTATCAATTAAATATTGCCTTGTATTCAACCCCTCTCGTAAGAGTAAATCTTGAGTTAATTACATGTAATGAGTAAGGCGAAAAGTCGTGTGTCCACCAATTAGTTCCAATTAACGAATAGCCAATGAAAATTGCGCTGTATTCAAGTATACTTCACTTTTTTTAATTAAATCATCGGATTTAATCTAATTTATTTTTTTTATCTGCAAATTAGATTTAACAAAAAATTTGAATCTTTACAAATGTAAAAAAGTAAAGCACACCAGTGATTTTCATCCTCAAATGAGCGGATGTTTCAGTATCAATTAAGTAATTTAGATCCCTCACCCTTTCGGAAGTCTCTTTAGTATAATTTGTTACTCAAGTGGGTCACGAGGCCTACCCAGAAGGATCTGCTAAGTGTGATTGAAGTTGAATGTCTTTTACTAAGGACAGAATACGATAGCAGTATTATTTACGAGAGGAAATCAAATTCCAAGTTTCTATGTCAGTGTCATATATACGACAAAAGATATTTTGAATAAGATTGGATTTCAGGGGCATTTACTAAAAAAAGTGACAACGAAAAAATAAATTTCAGCTGAGATCTAAAAAGATTGAGCAATTCGGTCTACCATGAAAGAGCTTTACCTGAAAATAATGTATATAATCACGTTATTACTAACAACCAAGTATGATTAGAGTAAATGGAACACTTTGCAATATTCCCAAAAACACAGCATCAATTTACATTAATGAAATTTGAAAACTTGCAAAGTTCAAAAACTACATATACTTATCTGCCAGTAACCTCAAAATCCCGTGTTGATATTCATCAAAGTTAACTTCAAACTGCATGATGGAAAAATTTGCGGACGAACCTCACGAAACCAAT